TTGACAATGTGAGACTGGGTTTGTAATCACATTTCTGGATGTGATGTTTCTGCTCCTGTCACTTGCAACAACAATTCTCATGTTGTCTGCATGATCTAAATATGTCTCAACAATTTGATATTGAATATTCATTGTTCCTCTTCTTCCTCTTTCTCTGTCCAGTGATGAGTAGTTAGTTGAGCAAGTTTCATTTTATTAGGAAAAAAAAAGTGTTCACATAATAATGTGGGGAAAATGCAAATATCTGATGCCTAACAGGATTAAAAACAACACGCCCCTGTGGGAAGAACAGCTGAGGTACAGCTTATCACCCAGACGCAGACAAGGCTTCAAACTTTTCAGTGGTGCTCACAGTCAAAGCATCGTGGATTTTCAACTCACATGGTGAATTTGGAATTAAAATTTTTGCAAGCTGTTATCATGAATGAGCAGTGAGGGATGTGGGTACCATCAATGGTTTGCTCGAGAAACAGTGCTGGCTTTGGCATCAGGCAGTTCTGGATCCAGATGCTAACTAACTTCCCCACATGTTAGGTTGTATAATCTCAAGCATAGAAATTCATCTCTCTAGAGATGCCATTTCTGCAAATGTGAGATAGAGATGATAATATTTACCTTATAGGGTATATTATAGGATTATCTATGCATGTACATGAGCACATATTGATTGGGTGCCTAATAAAGAATAACTACTTTCATTAGTCTATTAGTGTGTGGATGTAAAAATAAAAACAGAATGTTAAGGGAAGGTGTGTATACTATAAATGGAATACCGCCTATTTGTTATCAAGGGAGTAAGAGGAAAATGAGACTAATCATTGTTTTGACAATAAAACAGGGGAAAGCCATGTGTTTAAAAGGCAAGATGACTTACTGTAAGCCATACTTCTCTTTCTGAGCTTGATAGTGTCTTATAAGAAAGCAATGCCCACCTGCTTACAATTTTGCTGAATGTTTGATAATGTTAAAGTCCAGAATGGATTTCCCTAGTTTGATCTTAATTCACAACAGTCATTGAATTCTTCTACAATAGCTGTATACTACACACATTACAAGGAGGTCTGGTGGTGCAGTGGATAATGTATTCAGCTACTAACCAAAAGGTCAGTGGTTCAAAAGTTCGAACCCAGCAACCACTCCACAGGAGAAAAATGAGGCAGTTTTCTTCCATAAAAACATGTAGCCTTGGAAATGGTGGAGCAGTTCTATTCTGTCCTATAGTGTCGCTATGAGATGGAATCAACTGGATGACAGTGGATGGGTTCTACACATTACAGGTCCAGGCCAAGGCTATTCTCAGACACTTTTGTATGTACTTTCTGGAGCCCAAGGTTTGGTCACCATTTGCACAGGAAGAGTCCTAGTACCTGTTTCATACCTATTTTATCCCTAGGGCCCAAGGCATCTCCCTACCAAAACCACAGCTAGGCCAGCATTCCTTGTGCCCTGGGGTTAGGCCTCTGCCTTCTTCCCCAGGTCCTCTGCCTGGTTTTCCTGCCTGTGGCTCAGTCCCCTGGAGTTGGTGCATGTCCTGAGCCACTGCCTCAGTGTCGTCATGAGGGAAAGCAAATCCATGGCCCAGTCCCACTACAGCCTGACAGCCCCCAGCTCTGCCCCTGAGCCATGGCCCCAGACCGACCTCCCAGGCCCTCCATTGCCTGGGCCGTGCCTGGCTGCCTGTTTCTCCAGGACTGGGATGGGTAGAGGGGGGACAGTTGCCTTCAGAAGACGCCTTAAGGAGGATGGACAGATCATTCATATCAGTCACAGGAAGCAGTTAAGAGTGTGGCCTTTGAAGCCAGGCTGCCTGGGTCTGAATCCCAGTCCTAACTCAGTTCCTAACTAGGCAACCTTGGACAAGTCACTTGACTTCTTTCCTCCTCACTTGCCTCATCTATAAGTCGAAGATAGTAACAGTGCCTATCTCATAGGTCATTCTGAGGATTTAGCAGTATCTTGCTATTCAGTGTCGTAACAGGAATGCAATAAATGGGTGCCTCTGAAGAACAGAAAGGTCCTTTTTCATATTCAGGAAGCTAGCAGTCTGAATTCAGGGCATCGCCTCCAGAGGAAAACTCTCTCTCTGTCAGTTACAGAAGGAACTTTTCCTGGTCTCTTTGGGCTTCCATAGCCCTAGTAGTCCTTGGCTCCTTGGTAATCTTCATGTGACACCTATTCCCACCCCCCACCCTCCACCCCACCCCCATTTCTGCTTGTTCCTGTTTAATCTGTTCTCTTTATAACTCAGAAGGGATTAGGTTTAGGGCACACTCTGCACTGATATGGCTTCATTATAACATAGAAAACCATATTCCCAACCAGGATTACATACACAGGTATAAGGATTAGGCTTCCAATACATATTTTTTGCGGGGTGGGGGGGCAGGATTCAACGCATAACAAGCAAGTTGCTACATCAATAAAGTGCTTAGAACTGTTCCTTACACACCAAAAAAAATAAAAATAAAAAATAAACCACCGCCATTGAGTCGCTTCGGACTCATAGCAACCTCCGCCAGATTTCCAAAGCTGTAAATCTTTACAGAAATAGATTGCCTCATCTTCCTCCCATGGAGCAGCTGGTGGATTTGAACCACTGAACTGGTGAGCAGCCAAGTGCCTTCCCCACTGCACCACCAGAGCTCCTTCTGCCTCACACACATTACGCACTAAATAACTGATGATGATGATGACCAAAAGCCATCATCAAAGGGGTAACAACTGAACTCCTTGGCTTTGACATTCAAGGACGTCCACAGTGTGGCCTTGTTTTCCCGGCCCATACTGGCCTCCTGCCTGCTCCTGAGCCAGTCGATTTCACACCCCCACCACTGTGCAGGAACATCATGTCTTCTCGCCCCTGGTCATGGCGCCCTCCGCCTAGAGTGCTCTCACGCCCACTCCAACCCCCCAGTTCTACTTCTTACTGCAAATCCTACCTCCTGAGCCAGCTTCTTCACAAACTTCAGGAAAGCATGGCTCAGTTACATCCTATGGTTGATATGTTTGCCCCCTCCCTAGACTCAAGCTGCTTGAAGGGCTCATACTCCCCTCCTACCTCCATCAGAAGAGTGTCTGGCACTTATGGGCACTCAGTATATTAAATGTCTTCCTTCCGCAGGATCAATGTCACTGACTGAAAAATACCTATTTCATAGAGCAGATGTGAGGGCTGCTGCTTCTTCTTTTTTTTAATTGTGCACTGGGTGCAAATTTACAAAGCAGATTTTACATTCAGCAGTTGATGCACATCTGATTTCACGGCTGTGCCCGCCCCTGCCTGTGCCCTTCTTATCCACGCATTCCTGTCTGTCCAGCTTTCCCTCTATGTGACTGCTGGCCCTCTGGTGTCTCATGGCTGATTGATCTAAGGGGTGCATCTGCCTAGAGTAAGTGGGTGCATCTCCCTAAGGTAGGTGTTCTGCATGTAGGTCTTTCTAGTGTTGGGCTGAGAACCACTCCATGGAAGTGAGTCCATTTTTAGGCCCGAAGGATAACCTGGGGCCATAGTCTTGGTTTGGAAGTGAGGATTGCCAGACCTTGTCTCACCTACTTCTGTCATGTTGTCAGAAGGGACCACTCTCTGGAGAAGGATGTCATGCTTGGTAGGGTGGAGGGTTGACGAAGTGGAGGGTCAACAAAAGAGGGGAAGGCCCTCAACAAGGTGGATTGACACAGTGGCTGCAGCGATGGGCTCAGGTATAGCAAGGATTGTGAGGCTGGCACAGGACCGGGCAGTGTGTCGTTCTGCTGTGCATAAGGTCACAATAAGTCAGATATGACCTAACGGCACATAACAACAACAACATAGTCTCAAGGCTTCCACCAGTCTCTATCTGACCAGTAATTCTGGTCATTTTTGTGTTTCTGAACTTCGCTCCACATTTTTGTGAGGGATTCTTTAGATGACATATGTAAATCACTTAGCAAAATGCCTGCCACATACAGTTATTGTAACTATTATTATTGCTGTAACTGCTGTTGTTTCATTGTGTAGTGGAAAGAGGCTACGCTTTGGAGCTAAACAGATGCGGGTTTATAGACCAACTTTGTTGTGTGAAAATGGCCAGAACTTCAGTGTGCTCAACTAGAACCAGGAACCAGTTGTCCTTGAGTTGGTCCTGACTCACAGTGACCTCTGTGCCAGAGGAGAACTGTCCTCTGTGGGGTTGGCAAGGACTCGTCAGAAGAAAACTGTGCTCCATGGGGTTGGCAAGCACTTGTCAGACTAGAACAGTGCTCCGTGGGGTTGGCAAGGACTGGTTTCTTTTCAGACATAGATCACCAAGTCTTTCTCCAACGAGCCTCTGGTTGGATTCCAGCCTCCAGCTTTTCAGTAAGCAGCCACAGTGTTAACCATTTGCACCATCACAGGGATTTTTATACCCACCATACCAAATTCCTGGTAAAAAGTAAGCAGGCAATCAGTGTTATTAAGCTCCATCTCTTTCTCCTCCATGATTACCTAAATTTGTCATCAGCTTCAATTTACTTACTTTTTCTGCTTCCAGGCCCCTTGGCTATAAAATTAAGGAGGCTGCACTAGATGATTTCCATATCCCCTACCACCTCTAAACTGCAGAATTATTGAACTCATCATGTTTCTTTCTTAACCCTATTGATTCTTTATCCATGAGGGAAGAGTTTTTCCATTGATGACTGTTCAATGCTCTAGTACATCGTAAATACAGCCCCCTTCTCTCTTGCTCTCTTTCTCTTTCACAGGGAAGACAATACAGGTCCTGGGCCTCCACACAACTCCAGGGAACATTCATTCAATGAGACTAATGTGTGATTAGGGCCCTAGGAAGTGTGCTGTGCAGCAGCCCTCGGTCCAGGCTAAATACCTTTCACAGAAGATTACAGGGAAGTCTGCAGAGCAGGGAGGGGGGGAACTGTTTCTCTCCAGCTTCCCTTGGACCAGAAACATCTCAGTGTGAACACGTGGGGAGCCAGGTGGAGCATCTCATTCATGCCTTTCCTTTCCTGTTCTGCCACAGACTTTGCAGATGGGCATCAAACACTTCTCTGGACTCTTCATGCTGTTGTGCATTGGATTCGGTTTGTCCATCTTGACAACCATTGGTGAGCACATAGTGTACAGGCTGCTGCTACCACGAATCAAAAATAAATCCCGGCTGAAATACTGGCTCCACACCAGTCAGGTGAGTGCCACGAGTCCTTCTCAATGTTCTTACACTTCAAAATTCCCAGTAAGGGAAGGATATCATTACCAAGCCCTAGGTCAGACTTAAGGAGCTCTGGTGGCACAGTGCCTAAGGCATTTGGCTGCTAACCAGAAGGTCAGCGATTCAAGTCCACCAGCTGCTCCACAGAAGGAAAATGGGGCAATCTACTTCCGTAAAGATGTACCACCTCAGAAAACCAACGGGGGTCACTATAAGTCAGAATTGACTCAATGGCAGTGAGTTGAGGTCAGACTTAAGGAGCTCTAGTGGTGCGGTGGTTAAAGTATTAAGCTGCTAACCCAAAGGTCAGTGGTTTGAACTCAGCAGCTGCTCTGCAGGAGAAAGATGAGACAATCAGCGTCCCTAAAGACTTACAGCCTTGGAAGCCCTATAGGGTAGTTCCACCCTGCCCACTGGGGTTGCTTTGAGTTGGAATCAACTCAATGGCAGTGGATTTTTGGAGGTCAAACTTACAAATGACAAGTTACCAAGAGAATGAAGGTGATGCAGACACTCTCAATATAGATGGTAGAGTTCCCTGTATCCTATTAATTCACTTTCCCCTTAAATTATATAATTGTTACAAAAATGGAATCAATAGGAAAAAAAAAATTACTTGCTTTCAGTTAATAGTGATAATTTGAAGAGAGGATGTGAAAGATTTGTTTCCTGCAGATTCTTTTCTTGCCAAAATTGAAACCCTGTAAATGGGCTTTGAAAGGAGCCCTGATGCACAGTGCTTAAGCACTTGGCTGCTAACCAAAATGTCAGTGGTTTGAACCCACCAGCTGCTTCCTGGGAGAAAGATGTGACAGTCTGCTTCGATAAAGTTTTCCAGCCTTTGAGACTCTATTGTTGTTGTTGTTGTTAGGGGCCATCGAGTCGGCCCCGACTCATAGCAACCCCTCATTGGGTTGCCAAGGCAGTATCACTACGGAAGTAGATTGCCCAACCTTCCTTCTGAGGAGTGGCTTGTGGGTTTGAACCGCCAACCTTCTGGTTAGCAGTCAAGTGCCTTAGGCACTATGCCATCAGAGCTCCTTGGAGACTCTATAGGGGCGTTCTACAGAACACATAGGTGACCTATGTGTTCACCATGAATCAGAATCAACTTGACAGCAATGAGTTCAACGAACTTAAAGGCTTCAAAGTCGCTGTTCCCCTTTAGGGTGAACCCACCTTTCTCTGTTCTCTCTGCTTTTCCCTGGCCCAGAGGTTTGAGGTGTGTGGGTGCCAAGGCCAAGCCTCCTAGAATCACAGCTCTTTTGTACAATGCAGACACCACACACACACTGATTCACAGGGAGAAATGGATCTGTGCAGCAGACCAAACCTTCCACTTGCACATTTCTCTTTAAAGGGAGTTGGCACAGAGGGCCAAGTGTAGTCTTGGGAGGCCTCTGGCAGATGCCTTCCGGACGTTCCACCTGACCATGGTGAGGCTGGTTGAGCCACCATAGCCTCCCAGGGCCAGGACCCCTCCTGCCCTCTCCGCAGGGAGGGCTCATTCTGCTATCTTTGCCCCATCCATCTAGTCCCGTGCGGACGCCCAAGTTGTGTTAATGTGCTAACACAAACCAAAAAAACAAACCCATTGCCGTCAAGTTGACTGTCATTCATGGTGACCTCATGTGTCACAGAGTAGAACGGCCCCATAGGGTTTTCTTGGCTGTCATCTTTATGGAAGCAGATCTTTCTTCAGTAGTGCCGCTGTCATTGTTGTTAAACTCAAAACTAAACTTGCTGCCATTGAGTCAGATCTGACTCATAGCTACCCCTCCTTGGGTTTTGGAGGCAGTATCACTGTGGAAGTAGATTGCCCAATCTTCTTTCCAAGGAGTGGGTGGTGGGTGTGAACCACCAGCCTTCTGGTTAGCAGTGAAATGCCTTAGGCACTCCGCCACCAGAGGCCCTGTTGTTGTTGTTAGGTGCTGTCAAGTCAGCGCTGACTCATAGTGACCCCAAGTGCAACAGAACAGAAGAATGCCCAGTCATATGCCATCCCCACAATCCTTGCTGTACCTGAGCCCATTGTTGCAGCTACTGTGTCAGTCCATCTCGTTAAGGGTCTTGCCCTTTTTCGCTGACCCTCCACTTTACCAAGCATGAGATCCTTCTCCAGGGAACAGTCCCTTCTGACAACATGACTGAAGTAGGTGAGACAAAGTCTGGCCATGCTAGGTTAAGAGTCAAATGGAAACACAGTACTTTTTTTTTTTTCTTTTAGATAGATTGCTATGATTGATTTGCTTGCAATGGAACCTTGCTCTTCCTACTTTCAGTCCAAGAAGTATATTGTCTCCTCAAATTCTGCAGACAACTGATCTATTCCACTGTATATCACCATGATTACTTGAACTCCGAGAGCCTTCCCTTCTTTGTGTTGACTACTAAGAAGTTCAGACTTAAGCTCTTGACTCACCTTATCAACTGTAGCAAGTCTTTTGCTGCACGTTAGTTATGGTAACTCTTCTTTACATCACATACCCTTTCACAACCCAGAGCGTTTCTAGGCTAGGAAATACCTTTTTCCCTCAAGGGGAATAATAACCTACACAATTAGATTTCTTTTTCTTTTGAGATTTGGGACTGAATGTTAATATATTTTGGGGCAGCCCTGGAAATTTGTGTAAAGATGCCAAGGTCTGTAGTGACCAGAGACACTGTTAAGCCTCAGGCCATAGTTTGTGCTCTGACCCAACTATGTTTCTAACGATCTCTACCTGTGAATCTGTTCTTTGCACCAGAGATTACATAGAGCACTGAACACATCCTTTGTAGAGGAAAAGCAGCAACGCTTCAAGACTAAACGTGTGGAAAAGAGGTAAGAGGCCCGTGTTGGGTGTCTTTATATTTGCTAAAATAAAAGTTTAAAGATACAGCTGAAACTCCACGCTTGAAGGAGAAATTATGTATAAACAATTCAGCTCCAATCAGAATCAGATTGTTAATAAACAAAACCAGTATAAATACATGTAGTTTCAGATAGAAATAGAGCAGATAAATAAACAAATATATATACATACATGGACAGTGAAATGCAGTACAGAAAATATACTGTCACGGTTTAAAGTGTAAGCTTGGACTCTAGTTGTAGCATTGAGACTCAAATCCTATCTCAGACATGTACAATCTGTGTGACAAGCTATTCATTCAACCTCTTTGTGCTTCAGTTAAGGAGCCCTGGTAGCACAGTGGTTAAGCACTGAGCTGCTAACCAAAAGGTTGGCAGTTCAAGACCACCAGCCATTCAATGAGAGAGAGATGTGGTAGTGTGTTTCCATAAAGTTCATAGGCTGGGAAGCCCTATGGGACAGTTCTACTCTGTCCTGTAGGATCCCTATGAGTTGGAATCAATTCAATGAGTGGTGCCTTAGTTCCTCATTGTGAAACTTCAATGAGCAGTACCTACTTCGTATATTTTTTCTTAGGATTAAATGAGATAATACACATATAAAGCCCAACACAGAGTAATCCCTGATAAAAGTTAACCATTATTATTATGTACAAAATACATGAGGAGCTCTGGTGGTGTAGTGCCTAAAGCACTTGACTGCTAACCAGAAGGCTGGCAGTTCAAACCCACCAGCCACTCCTCAGCAGGAAGATTGGGCAATCTACTTCTCAATTCATAATTACCACAAGTGATTGATTTCATGATATGGCCTTTGTCAGCACTCCCAGAAATATTTGAAATATGCAACAGACTGTGCTGCCTAATCCATTTTCTAGCACTGTTACTACAAACCCCTAGAGAAAAACATTTCATTAATAGGAAGTAATAAGCTGATGACAAATGAAAATTTAATCTCCATACCTTCACTGTGAGTCTGTGAATGACTGTGGCCTCATCCATGATGGCTAGAGGTGTCAGAAACGTTTTTGTCTGATTCCTCACTGACCCCTATTGGATGCTGCCTACGGCATCCTCCTGGCTTTTTCTTATGCCCAGAGGTCTTGGTTTGGGGCACCACCTCCAAGCAACTCTGTCATCTATGCTATAGCCTCAGCTCAAAGCTTGGCTCTCTGGGCAATTTTAAAATCAGACACTCACACCTCTTATTCATAATAGAGGAAAAGAAGAGGTACAAAATATGATTTGTTTTCATTGTTTTTATCTCCTCTAGGACCACCGCTCTCCCCTTCACTCCAGCTTGTATCTAGCTTGCCAGAATCATTTCCATTACCTCTCACAGTCTCTTTCCCATTGTGAACTCACTGTCCCTGCTCCCTCTCAGTCTATGGTGTTGCTCTATCTTACGGCAACCCTGTGAGTGACAAGCTATAAACTAATCAGGTCACAGCTGTTCCATGTCATTGCACATATATTTTTTTCTGTAATTATTTTTAACATAAGTTTTAAACCGGAGAATCAGAAGAAGACATTACAGCAGCAAAGACATCAGCTTATAATGAGGAAGCATTTGTTTTCTGTCTACAAGAAAACAGGAAGCCCAGTGATACCATCCCAACTGTGGTGTGATTCATATTCACATCTGTCACCTGAATGGAGAACCAAATGTGTGTGTTCATTCAACTTACCCACTTTTCTTGGCAAAGCCCCTTCTTGAATCTTCCATTTTAAAAAGGAGCTAAAGCAGAACATGGCTTCCTGGCTTATCATGACCCCATATTTCTTATGTCCACCTCCACACAACCCAATATGTGCAACGTTTCAAACACAGTGAGTGTTTGGGGTCCTACCACGGTATCTCTCCTTCGAATGGTCCAGTGAAATGGTGAAACTCAGGGTTATCTAATTGCTATCTGGAAGCTTGTTTTGTTCATTTCCGGTGTTAAATACAGCTCACTCACTGGTCTTATTAAAGAATCTCACCCTAACACTGAGGAAGGCTTGATACAGGTCACAGCTTAAACATGTTGTTGTCAGTTGCCCTTGAGTCGATTCGGACTCATGGTGACCCTGTATGTACAGAGTAGAACTCTTCCATAGGGTTTTCAAGGCTGTGACCTTTTCAGAAGCAGATTGGCAGGCCTGTCTTTCCTGACGAGCCTGTGTGAGGGTTTGAACTGCCAACCTTTCAGCTAGTACTCAAGCACTTAGCCATTTGCATCACTCAGGCACTCCCCACTTGAATATAACTGAAGTCAACAGTCTAACACACTCTTACCTTAAAAAAAAAAAAAAACACTAATACGGAGGACATCAAGCTCTATTGGCATAACATACTACACAAAAACATTATTCTACATCTTACTTTGGTGAGTAGCAACTGGGGTGTTAAAAGCTTACAAGTGGCCATATAAGATGCAACTATTGGTCTCACCTCATCTGGATGGAGCAAATAAGAATGAAGAAAATCAAAGATGCATGGAAACAATTAGTCCAAGGGACTAAAGGACTATGGGAACCTCAGCCTATATGACTCTGAGCCCAGAACTAGATGGTCCCTGGTTACCACTGCCAACCACTTGGAAAGGGTTCAAAATTGGAGATCCTGGATAGAGTGGGAGGAAAAATGTGGAACAAAACTCCCTGAGACTATGGACTCTAGTCACTCTTCGGGGCTGGAATTGAATTGAACTCAGTCTTGTGGCTTAACTTTCAGCCAAACAATAGAAAGGCCTATAAGGTGAACATTTATACCAGGTAGGTACACTCCTTAGAACAATCAACCATGAGAAATCAGAAGGGCAGTATTTGTACAAGGAGAAAGCTTAAAAGGCAGGAATGCATAGGAAAGGAGGACCCAGGGCAAAAGTAACCACAGGGAGGAAATGGGACAAAAGCGGCTACATTGTGGGGATTGCGATCACTGTCACTAAACAAAATGTGTATGGACTGCTGTGTGGAAAAGGAATTTGCTCTGTAAGCTCTGTACATCAATTATGAGAACATTTGTGATGCCAGCAACTAGAGTTTTGTCATGAAGTCCGGTTCTTGCTTATCTTCTATATTCCCAGATCAATATGCAAAGCTCAGGAGAACCACAGCGGCCAAGTCTACTTCCCAGCTCACTGTGGTTTCCTGAATTGTCCAGGAAAATATGTAGTTGCTCTACCCATAGGTTTTCCCCACTATGAGTCATTCTATGGTATTGGAATTACATCTGTTGGTTTGAAACTTCTTCTTTTGGAAGAATATCTGTGCAAAATGCCCATGTCAGCTACAACTTGATACTCTTCCCCTGTGCTCAATATTTATTGAATGCATAAAAGAACAGGTAAATGAATGAATTGCTACTGTATGAGTGTATGGAATTTGGGATCACAATATGGAAGCAGATGTTTCTCCTACATTATTTATTGCAGAGAAAAGGAGTCGGCGTTACAAGAGCCTGTTCATGTTGCTGGTGGTAGATGTGGGCCAGTCAGTTCTGACTCACAGCAGCCCTACGAGCAACAGAACAAAACCCTGCCTGGTCCTGTGCCATTCTCACATCATTGCTATGTTTCAGCCCACTGCTGCAGCCACTGTGTCAATCCGTCTTCCTGAAGGCCTTCCTCTTTTTGCTGACCCTCCACTTTACTGAGCATGATGTCCTTCTCCAGGGGTTAATGCCTCCTGCTAATATGTCCAAAGTACGTGAGATGAAATCTCATCATGCTCTAAGGAGCATTCTGGTTGTACTTATTCTAAGACAGATTTGTTCATTCTTCTGAAGTCCATGGTATATTCAATATTCTCCACCAACACCATAATTCCAAGGCATCAATTCTTCTTTGGTCTTCCTTATGTATTGTCCGGCTTTCATACACATGAGGCGAATGAAAACACCATAGCTTGGGGCACGTGTACCTTAATTCTCAAAGTGACATCTTTGTCTTTGAACACTTTAAAGAGGTCTTTTGCAGCAGATTCACCCAATGCAATACGTCGTTTGATTTCTTGACTGCTGCTTCCATAGATGTTGTTTTGGTTACCTAGGTGCCACTCTGACAAGAATATACCACAAATGGGAATGGCCTTAACAAACAGGAGTTTATTCTCTTACATTTTAGAGGCTTGAAGTCCGAGTTCAAAGTGTCAGGCTCTAGGGGCTGGGTGAAAGCCCCTCAGCCTTGGGCTTGAGCTCTGCCTCCAACTCCCGGCCCACTGGAGCTAGAGGCATTTCTTCACTCAGACAGCTGCTGGCTGCTGAGGCTGCCAAGCCCAAGGTTGACAAGTAAAAAGGCACAGTCCCGATGTTACCAAATCACATGGCAGGCCATTCATTCAAGTCCATTTTAAGTCCCAAGGTTGGCAGAGCATGGCAGGCTGCTGAGTAACGACTTGGCCACATGCAGGGTTCAAGCATGCCATAAGCTAGAGACCATTCCCAAAGCTGCTACTTATAGACAGGAAGCGGACAACATCCCAAAGGCAGCTACTCAGCTGCTTATGGTAGATCCCATCATGGAGTTGACTGCCAGTCTCATCATGGGCAATAACTACCACCAGCTGCCCAGCCACTCAACCAGGCCCAGCCAAGTTGACACGCAACATAACCACCACAGGTGTTGATTATGGATCCACCACCATTAGCATGAACTCAATGCCCCGCAAACAAGTTTTCCCTTTCCCCCTCCCTCCTACCACTGGTAATCACTAATAATCTTTGGTGTATATATATATATATAATTTTTTTCCCTCCCTATCTAAGAATTTAGCCCCCCCCTCCTCTTCTATCTCCTATCCCTGGGAACCAAGTAACAAAGTTTCCTTCCGTGTATAAACTTTTTTACAGTAGTGGACTAATACGATATTTGTCCTTCTGTTATTGACTTATTTCATTCAGCATAATGTTCTTCAAGTTTATCCGTGTTATATGGTTCAACATTACCATTTCTAAGTTTTGGTCTCTATCTTTAACCCCACTGGGTTCTTGATGCACACCCTTCCTTTTCTCTTTTGTCTCACACCAAGCAAGATACACACACACCACAAAAAAACTGTAAACCATATAATTCATAAAACCAAGATTGTTCTAAAACTCACTAGGAAAATACTTGAAATAAAAATTAAAAGGAACTGAAAGGCTGGAAAGAAAATGACGGTGGCATTTTCTCTTTGGCTCAGGTCTAAGAACAGGGGAGCTACTAGTGGGTTCACTGTAGAACATTTAGCCAGCCCCGAACACGTGAAAACCGAGCTCTGGTGTATCTTGCTGATTTATAAAAGAGGTAAATTATGAAAAATGCTAAAGAATGTCAGGACGCTTTGGAGTTTGTGTATTTTAATGGTGTGGGTATGCTTTTGCTTTGTGGGAAATCATCTCAGTACTTAACATCTGGAACAGCGAGTTGCTCATGAATCTTTGGGTCACTTGGGCAGTTTGCTGATCTGGGCCAGACTTGACTGATCTTATCAATGTAACTGAATCAGGACTATTATCCCTCCCTCTTTCCCTTCCCACTCCTCCTCCAGGCAACCGTAAGAGTACAGGAACAAAAATACAAGGATTTGATACAGTGATTTGGTTTGCCCCGTGGTAGGTGCCAAAGTGGTCACATCCTCCACCTTATCCACGTCCTCCTCCTCTTCCTCCTTTAACCAGAATCAGCAGTTATGCTGGTTTGGGGCTCATATCTGTTGTTAGAGCAGGGGAGTCTTGTGTATTTCTGAAACGGGACCCTTCTCCTCTGGTGCCATTCCTGCTGTCTTCAGCCATCTCCCTGTGATGGTGGTAGGTGCAAGCCTAAAAAAGCACTGCAAATCAGTTTCTAGCTGACTTCCATTATCCCAGCAAGAACTTGAGAGCTTTCTGGGGATTCTTTTTTAAGCTTCAGACCTCACCTGTCATTTTCAACCCACATAAAGTCACCCCTCCAATGGGAAACTTTCCTGAAACCTGCTGCCTACGTGCTTTTATTCTGCCCTGAATCAAGTAGCAAACGTCGGGCTGGTCCTGTGGGACCAAGCATGAGCCATATTATAAGCTCTGTCAGCAGGCACGTGCTTACAGCCCAAGAGCTCAATTAACAGCCTTGCACTTGGACTACAGCATCGTCTTTATGGCCATAGGATGTCTCAGGGCAGTGCTGCCTCTGAGCCCTGCTTGAAAGAAGGGGATAGAAACGCATGTGAAGTCCATCACGAAACCATGTGCCATAGCCGTTCCACCAGCCCTTCAGATAATATGCCCTTACAGCTTCAGAGCAGCGTAAGACTTGATGAGGCCTTGAACTCAGTTGAGAAGAATTTTATTAGCCCCTCTTGGCCCCACGGCATACAAGCACGCAGCCTCTCCAGGACTTCGTTACTTCATCCTGAAGAGCACAGCAGGTCCCCATTTGTCACACAGGAAATGGCCAACAGATGGCGAACAGCACCTTGAGAGCTGCAGAATGCAAGCTAAAGCTAAACTCTCTTTGTTTCCTAGGTGCAGCGTAGGCCCTCGTCAGCTTGCCGTGTGGAATACTTCCAACCTGGGTCATGACAACCGGTGCAAATACATCTTTCACGACGAGGGAGGCCCAAGCCAGGCGGGCCTCCTGAGCCAGCAGGACCTCCCTCTGCCTCCCAGGAGGAGAGCGCGCCCCGCCTCCCTAACCACCAATGGGAGAGCAGATGCCCTCCACGGAGCTCGGAACTCGGTGGCGCAGGAGCTCTCGGAGCTGGAGCGGCAGATCCAGGTGCTCCGCCAGGAGCTGCAGCTGGCCGTGAGCCGGAAATCAGAGCTGGAGGGGTACCAAAGGACCGAGCGGACGCGCGAGCCCTAGGCGGGCGCGAGCGCCGCCTCAGTGCCCGGCACTCCTGAGCCCTCGAGACACTTTGTAACGCTCTTTTGTAACTACTGACAGCGGTGTGGGGACGCTCCGGTCTTCTTAGCGGTCAAGTCTGCCCTCCCCACCTAGAAAGCAGCAGCGCCTCTTCCCAGGCGCACCCCAGGCCTCCAGGCGGGGAGGCCTTCTAGAGCAGGAATCTCCACTTAGTCAGGAGGAAGGGATCGGAAGGAGCCCTGGGGCGCAGTGCTTAAAGTGCTCAGCTGCCAACTGAAAGGGCGGCGTTTGGAACCCACCAGCCACTCCACAGGAGAAATATGTGGCAGTCTGCTTCCAGAAAGATGCCAGCCTTGGAAACCGAATGGGACAGTTCTGTTCTGTTCCACAGGGTGGCTGTGAGTTGGAATTGAGTTGGCCTTTTTGGAGGGGACCTGAATAACCAGACAGCCCAGCTCCTATCAAGCTTGCTTTCAGGCGCCACAGTAAACATTTCTGGTTTTCAGCCCTCTCTGCACTATCAACAAGAGTTAGAGTGTGTTACGGGGTTGGTGGTTTTAATCTTCGTATACCACAGGATTATCCAGGGCTGTGGCTTTTGATAAAACTCCCCGAACTAGGTTTGTTCCAATATTCCAAATGGGGGGCAAGGGTAAACCTAGAGAAAGCTAGCTGAAAGGCTGGGCACGAATTACGAATGAATTAGGAAATCAGCAGAGCCTGTTAGTAAGTAACCTGGCAGCCTGAGCCACGTTTTTGGTCTGACACTGGTGACCTCCATCCCAAACTCCATTTAGTAGGAATATGCTTATATGCCAGGAATGTAGGAGCAGAGACACGGTGGTGAGTGAGGACAGAGGACAGGAAGAAGAGGCATTCCAAATATACACAATGCTTTCAAAACAAAAGCTTTCCACCAGTGAGGCAATTTGGGTAAGGAATGAATAGGACCATTCCCTAATCTAACTAAGCATCTCCGCTATAGTGTGTGCCTTTTATAAAGGAAAATAAAAGAGAGAGAAGCCAAGCAAGGCTTTGGCTCTGGAGTGAAAGGGAACTCTCCAAGTTTAGTGTGTATGACAGGATATGAGATCTGGCACTGTGGATCAAGTGGCAGTAGTCTGTAAACCACATTCCAGGCCATTTTCAGATCAGCTGTCACTCTCTTAGCTGTAGGAACCCCAGAAGTGGCCCTCAAGTCCCAACATTACAAGCTTCAACATTCAGGGATCTGCCCTGTGCTTTTCCCGCCTGTATTACTAATTACACCAAATCAGCCTCCCATCTTCACCTCCATGCATCTTGGGGAGCTATGAATGGGTTTTCTGTCCCTCTGATTATCCTCCAGGCCCCAGCTGAGCCCCTGAAGGTTGACAGAAGTAAGCCGACTTCCCCTTGCTGAGGCACTCCCTCCCCACTGCACAACTGCTGAAAGGAGGAGGAGTAGGAGAACGCCAGTGCTTCGGTTCCTAAATGTCAATGTAGAAGAATCACCTAGGGAACTCATTCAGATACTGATCACCATCCCCTTCCCAGAGATTACTGGGGGAGGGGGCTCCTGAAGACGGACTTAGAAATCTAATACATATGGTCCACAAATTTCTCTTTGAAAACTCTGTTCTGGAAGTTTGGCCACCCCAGGCATAGGGAAAAGTAAGACCAGAGAAGCTTTCTGGGAGTTTTTGAGGCATAAGTAGACTTCCTTGGGCGTCAGTTACTTATTTTATCCATCCAGTACTCGGTGCTCCCCGACAATCCACTTGATTCCCCACCATAGGTTCCACACTGTGCCAAGCGCTGTGCTCACTAACAGCTGCAGAAGGCATTTAACTGCTAACCAGAAGGCTGGCGGTTCAAACCCACCAGCCACTCCTCAGAAGGAAGACTGGGCAGTCTACTTCTGTAGACATACCACCTCGGAAACCCAAGGAGGGGTCACTCACTACGAGTCGAACTGACTCCATGGCAGTGAGTTTTTTTCACTGTGGATGAGGGAGCCCCACTGGCACAATTACTAAGACCTTGGCTGCTTATCGAACTGTCACAGTCCAAATCCACTAGCACTCCACAGGAGAAAGGGCTGGCGATCTGCTCGCATAAAGATGACAGCCTAGGTAACCCCACGGAGGCAGTTCTACTCTGTGACATGGGGTCACCCTGGGTCCAATCAACTCCACTGCCATCCCAGCCCCGCTGGACCCAACGCCTGCATCCTCACCAGTTTCCCCTATCCTTGCGTGACAAGAGAACACTCGCAGCTACAATTAACACCTTAGCAGTTAATGGTCTGAGAAAACCCGGAGGTGGAGCTGGGCACAGAAGTACTGATAAGAGAAGGAGGAAGGCTCTCAAGTTAGACTTCATCCCGGCAAATGGAACAGTTCAGTGAGGGCACAGGGAGCCCTGGAAGCAGAAACAGAGAGCCTGCTCTGAAATGCCCTATCTCCTAGGTTCTCACCCCTCGCCCAGAAGTAGCTTTGTGACTGCCTTTGGAAGACGGTGCCCCTTAGCCGTCCCCTGCCACCTGCAGCCACTAAGGACGCCGCACACTCTGCCACCACACCCTGCCCTGAACCGGAAGGCCGATGTACAGGTGTACCTCAACTCGCAGGACAGCCGAGCTCCTGAGAAGCTGTGTACAGACATTTTTATAAGTTAAATCATATTCTGACTGCACTTGAGAAGCTGGCTATTTAAGGAACCCAGAGGTGAATCTTTTGTAAAGAATCCTTTTGTAATGCAATTACTTATCCCCTGATGTATCCGTTTGATAAGCTGGGTTTTTGTATATCGATGATCGGGTTTACCTTCAGCTTCTCTACTGAGGCATTCTGAGCAGTGGCGGTCACGTGCCTGACCACCCTGCCTATCCACAAAGTAGGTGACCAGCGCACGTTCCCTGAAGTCTCCTGGCCACGACTGTGGCCCAGGTGCAGCAAGCAGCGGCAGGGGCTGCGAGCAGGTGTGACGGCCCTCGGCATCGCCTGAGATGCCTCACGCTCTGGGTGAAGATCCAACCATGACTGCTTGTGGTGAAATGAAGCCGTCTTCACGTTCAATAGCAATGGTTATTTTTATTAGTAGTAATTGAACAGTGTTTTGCAATTTGTGGAACAGTGTGCTGTGTTTTGTAAAAAGAATTTGTGGTGGGTCCTTTGCAAACCTTTCTGTTCTGCTCCACCTCTATTCTCTCAAGTCCCTTCAGGCTCAGAAAACAAAGATCAGTGAGGTGGAGGGTGGTATTGGACAGACAGAGAGAAGGCAGGCTTCCTTGCCTTTGCTTGTGGGCTGTTTCAGGACATCAGGAAGGCCTCCGTTCTCTCCCAAGCTCCGGATGCTCGGAAAACCGGAAGAGGACAACGGCACCATGTCACATGCCCGAGGGGGAATTCCTGGCACAGAAAGCATGTGATAAAGTAGGACTGGGTGAGCTGAAACAGATGTGGATACTTAGCTCATATAAATAACAGTGGTAGTAACGGCCCCAGAGTGTCTATACCTCAGGATAGAAAAGGGTTTCCTCCCACAATTCAAGTTGGAAGGAGGACTAGAATAGACAAGCGAAGCAGCCACAGCGACCCACGCAGGTGGGTCTTTAATGTGCCTGGAGGTGACTCTCCCTTACTCATGGATCTTGCTGCTGTGCCAACCCTCTATAGGAGCTGCTGCTTCTGTTGTAACCAGAGCAGGGCAACTGCCAGGTGGAGCAGAGCCCTCCCATCTGCGTGACAGACTCTCAGAGCCTGGGGGCCTGTGAGCACTTCCTTTGAGTGACAGAGAATGATGAAGGGGCAAGAAGCTACCTTATAGCCTCTCTCTCCCTACTCCTACTTTTGACAGGCCACCCAATCCCACCTTTGGAAGACACTGCTTTCTGGTTCTCAGAAGCACTTCATTACCTGCACCGTTGACTTCCTATATTCATTGCTTCACCCACCTTACCCATCCCTGTCATCCTGGATCCCTTCACTACTTCTTTGGTTACTAACCATTTTACAAACTTACGTATAGGCACTTTCTTAGAGTCCGTGAAGAATGTTTGCACTGTGTCTTCATTTTAATGTGATTGCAGTTGCTCCGCTCCAGGAAGAACTGCAACGCCGTCTTGTGAGCATGACGTGATCGGGCTGTTTTGTTCCGGCCCCTTTTCTTGTACAACCACGTGGGTGGACTAGATGTCCTCGGGTCTTTTCCATCTCCAGTTTCTATGACTGTGGAATAAATGTGCAGACAGAAACTTCACTTCAGATGTACTGCCGTCTCTGGGGGTTCAAACGCTGACGCGGTCCCAGTCCCTTCCGACCAGGAGACCCACTGATGCATGACTGACGCTCATTTAGGCTCTGTTTCCTTGTTACAGTCCAAAGAAGTGGCACAAGATACATTGAGGAAACTCGGAGCCTGGGCATCATGAAGTAGAATACCATGGTTTAATCAGAGGGCATGATTCTAGGAATCTTGCCTTGTTAAAGAGCTTTCTGGAACACTGCCCTGACCATCCTCATTCAGTCATTTAACAAACATTGGCCAAACACATCCTATTCGTGTGCCATGTGCTGCTGGTCATGTAACAGTGAACAAGATGGGTGTGGCAACCCCAGGGGCCTTCCCATAATGTGGCCTTTCACAACCTGCCAACAAGCAACATAAAAGCTAGCATTTACTGAACACTTACTATAGAACATGGTATCATTTAACCTTCTCAACCATCTCACAAGAGAGGCACTATTATCATCGCTAGTTTACAGATGAAAAAACCAAAGGTTAGAGAAGTTATCTACCTTGCCCAAGGTAACACAGCTACGAAGAGTAGAGATGTGTATTCCTGGCAGTACAACTCCAGAACAACCGTTAACTATACTGCCAGGATGCTGATCATTGCCATACAAGTTCCTCCCGGTTCCCTAATCTCCAGCCTTTTGGCCTTATTGCTTCTGACCCATGCCTCAGCCCGGCTCCCAGAACAGAGAGGGAAGCTGATGTGGTCACAATCCTGCACT